GCTTTTAGGCTGAATGTCCGGGACGGGCCCTGCAGGGCCCGTGTGGCTACGCAGTATGCCACACCCCCCCCGCCTTGAAGAACCGAGCTTACCTGCGAGGGCGAAGCTGTCTGTCTGAGGGAGGGACCACAGTCCGGGTGGGAGGGGCTGGTCGTGAAGCTTCCTGAGCTAACCTCCGTTTTTCATAATGCCCGTAGATCAGCAGTGCGGATGCTTTCAAATCTGCGCCTGAAATCCACCGAGTGTCGTCGCGATTGCATGCTTTGAATGTGACTTTGTACTGCCGCGGCTTGCTGCCGTACTTGCGATCGGAGCTGACGCGGTCAACTTCCTGATGGCCATCCATAGAAGGAGGGTCCTGCGATCGTCAGTCCGGAAAGTCGTCGCTCTGTGGAAGACCGGATGGCCCGTCAGATGCTCTGGACTGTTGATCACAAATGAAGGGCCATCGGGCTCATCGCCCGCGGCTGTTGTCACCGACCAGGGTCCAAACCACTTGGGAAGCAGTTTGCGTGAAACATTCTGTTCCAGTGCAAACTCTTCCGCCAAGACCCAAACCAGATCACCGGCGCGAATGGGACATGGTACGCGACGCCTGTTGGCTTGCTGCTGCATGCGGACTTGAGCCTTTTACATATTTGCGCGGGCTTGAGTCAGCAATTCCCTGTACTTCCGGACGGAAGCGGGAGAGCAAGCAGCGTCAATGTCGGCTGGTCGAGGGAGGAGAAGGTCTGCGAAGATCCGGCCTTTCCGTCCACCGTGGTGCAACTCGAATGGAGTCACGCCGATCGCCGGATGCRCCGAAGTGTTGTAGGCGAACTCGATGTCGGGGAGGCGGTCAACCCAATCTTTCTGGTCCGGACGGATGAGCGTACGAAGCATCATTTGAGCGGTCTGATGTGCCCGCTCCGTCTGCCCGTCTGTCTCAGGATGTCGAGCCGAACTTGGTTTCATTGTTGTGCCGGACTCCTACATGAGAGCAGTCCAAAACACTGACATGAAACGAGTGTCGCGGTCGCTGACAATGTCTTCTGGTACACCGTGGCCACAAATCCAACCAGTGTGCAGGAGGCGTGCCAGCTCGGGAGCCGTGGAGTAGTACTTGCAAGGGAGAAAACGCGCGTACTTACTCAATCGGTCCACAACCGTGAGGATGTCGTCGGGCCCGAGCCGGTCGCGAGGAAACGGACCGGTGACGTCCATGGCGATGGAGAGACCGGGTTCCCGTGGGATAGGCATCGGGTGTAACTCGCCGTAGGGATTGCGGTT